ATTCTCAGGCACAAGCAAATATATGGTCAGAGATGCTTCGACCGAGCCAGAAGCCACACTGCTCTCCTTGCATCTGGGAGTCAATTATTCCGGGGCATATTCTAGCACCTTTGCGTAGACTTTACCTTGGAGGATAATTAACGTAATGCCCCTATAATTTGAGCACTCCTTCTTGAACAGGGTACAACTCCCGTTCCCCAGTCCACTTGTTTCTTTCCTGTAGTTATCGCAGCATCCCCAATTCCAGCAGCCTTTCCATTTTTCCCGCTTTTCACAGCTTGTGTAATTTCATCTGCAGAAATAGTTATATCAGTTCTCTGCTGCTCCACAAGCGAGTCTTCCTGCGGTTGCTCGCGGTTAAGTAATTCCTCAAAGTACGCTCTCCATCGCCGAAAGATATCCTTATCCTCGGTAAGAGCGTGTCCAGTCCTGTCCTTCAAGACGCTTAGACTGCACTTCTTTTCACCTCGGAGTAGGCGAATTGTCTGCGAGAACTCGTTATTTGCCGTGTGGAAATTCGACTCCAACACCTCTCCGAACTCCCAGGAATTGGCTTTGGCTTTTGCCGCCGACTTGCGTGCTTTAGCATATCACACGAGAGTAGAAGGCTCTTTGTTTCCAAGCCATTTCTTGAATGCAACGTTCTTTTAACTGCCAGTTGTACCTCTCATGTCCACCAGGAAGTCCTTTTCTGACCTCCAGGCGGCAGGCCAACCCATTTAAATCCGCAGCACTGCTCAGCAGCCTCGAATATGCCGCTCTTAAAGAGCTTCCAGTCGGTTTCCACATCAGTGGTCATACTATACGTTTTACAGTTTAAATATGAACAGGTGAAGAACAAAAAATAAGATAGAACATAAATTTACCTTGAAAAAGATATTGTGAGGAAAGCAAGGGAATTCGGTGCCTCCGGGTGGTCCCGCTGTATCTGCGTCGATTGGTCCATACTGGTCGATAAACTTTGCAGGATATTTAGAGTTCTGCGACGAATTCTGCAGTGCAATGTATCGACGAATACTGTTTCTGGCCTTCTTGATTAACTTGCGATCGATGTCCAGACCGACAATAACTCGAGGACTGAAAGTTTCGGCTATATATTTCGTTATGTAGCCGACGTTACAGCCAACATCTAAAACTTTACGCCCAGAAAACCATTCTTCTTTAAAGCAACGTATTCTAGGGTCGCTCAACTCCGTACACAGACGCATAGCGTAGTAATTATCGTAATTACCGTAACAATATCTGGCAGCTGTCATCTTTTTAGCAGCTGTTTTTGATATACCAGATGTACCAGCAGCTTCTTTTCTTGATGACTCATTTGACTGCGAGGCTTTAGGTTCTTCACTAATCTTTTGGGTGCTGTCCAGGTTCAGCTTTGAGCCACACATTGGAGAGGCATTATCACAAACAGGAGACACGATTGGATCAGATTGTCTGCCAGAACGAGATACACTGAAATCAGCCGATAATGCTTTGGCCTTAATCACTTTTGAACTCAGTTCTTTACTGCCGTCCGAATTTTGACGGCTGTACACGGTTTTGCTACGAGATCCGATGGCAAAACTTTCGGAAAGACATCGTTTTCTCTAAACAACCGAAATCAGCATAATAATCATTTTTCTTTATAACTCAATGCTGTAACAGAATATTCATACTGATGAGAAAATGTTCGACAATCGAATACTGAAACTCGAATAAATTAAAGACAAATCAGTTTCTTATCGAATCCGAGGCGATATACTTTCAATTAAATATTTGGCCTGAAGAGATTTCTTTGGGCTCTGCTGCATGAATTCTGATCGTTCACATTTTCGGGAACATTTCAGAAGCAACTAACGATTTTGAAACAAAACCACATGCTCTGATCTCGGCCATTTACTCGAGAGTTCGGATACGTACAGAGTACTCACAAACGATATTTTTTGTCACTTCTCCGGATTTACACGACGTATCGCACTGTCCCACCACTTCTTCTAGAATATGGGGCTTTTTAAATAGGCCACGATTCCATAGCCCTTTTGCACTTGCAGCGCATCGGCGCAAAACAGCACCATCACAGAAGTGAAAAAAGAATGTTATTCTTATCGGTGATATTGGAAACTAGTAATTTGCTAGGGGACCAAACTAACCGGCTTTATTTCTGGTAAACGATAGACTGTTCCATGGATTTAACGAAATTTCTGAAAGGGTAATACCGTAGATAACAAGATAAGCGAAAATTGTTTGGCCAATGTTGCGAATCTTGGTAACGCTGCTCATAATAATCATATTGTCTGCCATATGGCTAAGAAGTCTTGACGGTTCAGTACCAGGAGTACATTTCAGTCAACAGAAGGAATTGGGTCAATCACTGAAATCATTCATATACATGTTGCTCAAGCAATGAATCGACAATAACTACAGACTCCTACGAACAACTTAACCGATATCTGCTTTCAAACGGTTGAAAACTAAAGCTCGATTCTGGACGTGTCAGCAATTTCATCAAGGTTTTATTGCAGTGCAACGAAGGAAGATATTACATCTTGCATTAGTGTAACAGATAAACACATTAGTTTAACATTTTAACCACCTGAAACTGACGGTGATACAAACACCGCCGTTTCTTCGCCTTCATTCATAGTAATTATGATACTGGACAATGTCCGTGCAGCATGAAACTTTTTCGTTAAGCTTTTCTACCTCTCACGGTATCTCAAACCACATAATCAGAAGACTACTATTAATAAAGCAATAACAAGATTATCGAATCAGCAATAGCTTAAGACTCGAAACTTCTTTAATAATTATCAGAACATCTAGATCTGCCTAGACAAGAGCACCATCAGTGCTGCAGCAATGGTTCGTAAACATAGAAACATAGGCAATACCAGCCGCTTTGCGAAAAAATTCAACTGCTCTTTACAGCTAAGAATCGCTTATACGATATTGCTGAGAACTTTTCTATTCTTTGACAACCGACATTCAACTATACATTCAGATATTCAGCTTTTCTGACCAACTTCGAACCTGTTGTATTCAATAATTTTCAAAATCCGCAATTCCTTTCGATTCGGGGGACAGCTTCACCACGGGACTTTTCATGCGGTTCCGGTCCGCCGTAAAACGACTAGCTCAGTTGTTTCAAGGCGCGACAATGTGAGAACTAAATAATCGAGTCATCTGGTAGTGGTCGGACCCTGAACCGCATTCCTTTAGCTCGACTGAACCTGCACCTGGCGTCTCTCCTGCTGCATCCTTTTCGCACGTCCAAACCATACATGGAAAACCAGAGTGAAGGAAAACCAGCTATGAATGAATCGATCAAAAGCGGGAAGCAGCTGCAGTATTCCCCGGTTTCGTGCCTGTTTCAGTCAGACTCGCTGTCTGGTGGCAGCTGGTTTATAGCCTATCAAAGAAATGATCCTCCTAGTCGTGTGGAACTGTTCATTCGGTTTAATTAAACACTTTGCAGACACCACATTTGTAAGGTCATAAGTTACTTCAACCATTTTCTATGCCGTTAACGGAGATTGTTTGAATATTGGAACATCCAAAGACGGATACGTCATTGTTTCGAAAAGTTACGCGGCGAATAAATCGTATCTATCGACTCCATCGGGAAAGCACTGGATTCAAGATAAAAGATCGCGAATTCAGGCCCTCAGTCAGGTATGTGTTTCACTGTACTGAGCATCACTTTGTGAGAAAGAAAAAAGGCTGCACGATATGCTTGCCACATACCTACAAACAATGCCTTTAAAGTAAGGCACTCCTAGCTGATAGCACAGAAACGGAAATTAGCGCTACGCCAAGCTCATTCACGGAGAGGACAGTGACGCAAATGGTGCGAGGGTGAGCAACACCGCAACGGCTACAAATTTTCTTTATTCTTCTTGGACCCTGCTAAGGCATTGGAAGACTTAAATAAGCGCATTACTTGCGGTTACAACATACAACGACGCAAATACGTTTCTGATTCATCTGAGGGTAGCAACTTTTGCTAAAAGATTGACGAAATATCGCAACAATTACAGGTACTGAAAATATCAGTAGTGATGCACTTCGAAATGTCACTTTTCTGGGCACTGCTTAGACTTCCTGGCAACAAGGAAAACGACCTTCACGCAGCAGTGAATGCTGCCCATTATCAATCTGAGATACCATTTCCAAACGTCACATGATAAACTTGGGCTACCCCGCTGTTTAAGCTATGCTAACCTTTGATGATAATGACACAACTTTCTTGGAAAAAGCGGGAAAACTTTGATGAATATTCGTACATGGCTACTTTCAAGCAGAAAACTAAAACAGCAACAGCAGTCAGCTTCCTACGCTCAGAAAATCAGTAACAATAAAGTATTGAATACTCTCAATGGTTACAAAAATACAGGGTAACGATGTTTCTCCTTAAATCGCCTTCGAAGAGACCTTGTACATCTTGTCATGACCTTCCGTATTTTCTCGACTACCTTACATCCTCCTGAAAAAATTGATTACTGATTAGTACAACAGAAAGCACAACCGAATGCAACACATGGACATCATATGTTATTCACAAGAAACGTTCATTTTCGAAATTGTATTCCCTTGTTCCGACAGAATAATACATGAAAACTCACTTTTCTTTCCTGTGGCCAGTCGCCTTCATCAGACTTTGTACTTATTCCACGTTTTCGCTTGCGGAAACGCCTGTTTCCCGAACCGAAATGATCACTTCTGTCGGCCACGCCATTAAGACTCAACGGATCATGCAAATCCTTTGGGATCTTAACTTCAATGGCATCACCCTGATACTGTTTTGGCTGCTTCTGCAGAGGTGAAAGAGAAGGTGATTTCTAAAGCGCCTAAGATTGCAATACGAAACCTCTATCCGAAATCATGCCTTACTTCACCAAGTGCCGGTTCTTCAATAAGTTCGTTCAGGTTTAACGGATCGTTGATGTTACCTCCCAAGAGAAATGTCTGCGGCAGTTGAATCTTCTCATGCTTATGCCTACCCGCCGAAACAATATTGCTAAGGCGTCGCTTGCGTTTCGAAGGCGACCGCTGCTCGCCTGATCCCGACATCATTGAACTTTGGTTGGAACAAGTTGGTTTCCCAGGTGAACTTTGCATGTCGAAAGACTGAATTCTTTCGTTTAATGGCAGTCTATTCAGCTTCATAGCCATTCCAATCCTAAA